TAATCCTGACACAGTAAGGATTCAAATAGACAAAGGCAGCTTAAGTGAATGAGCAGAGATCTGGCAATAGGGAATAATGGGAGAAAATGTGAACCTCTTGTCAGGAAGAATAGAAAACCAGTATATCATTTGATATAACTTGATGTAATTTTACACAAATGGAGAGAGAGAGAGAGACTGCAAATCGCTGAGCTATAGAGAAATCTGGATGGCTTGGTACATGAATCAAAGTAATTAATATGTAGGTAGATCAGTGTTGTCATTTATTACAAGGAATGGAATATAACAATGTGGCAAAATATAGACAGCTGTATAGGGTGTTGCTGAGACCACATCTAGAGTACTGTCTACAGTTTTGATCTCCTTAGTTACAAAAAGATATAACTACATTTGAAGCAGTTAAGAGAAGGTTCTTATGACTGATAACAGGGCTGACACTATCTTAGGAAAGGTTGGACATGTTGGGCCTTTATCTTTTTGAGTTTGGAAGAATGAGATGGAGTTTTATCACATGTAAGCGTTTTAAAAACAAACACTCAAACTCTCTTTTACGGGTCAGTGTGTGGCATGACTAAGGGGTACATAGACTGTAGAACAATATAGCTCAGGAACAGGCCCTTCAAACCACCATGACTGTGCTCACCATGATGCTATTCTAATCTAACTCCATCTGCCTGCCCATGGTCTATATCCCTCTATTCCCTGTCTGTTTATGTGTCTGTCTAAATGCCCCTTAAACATTGCTTCTACCACCTCCCCTAGCCGCACATTCCAGGCACATACCTCATCTGTGTAAAAAAAATGTTTTACACATCTCGTTTAAACTTTCCCCTCTCACTTTAAACCAGTACCCACTAGTATCTGACATTTCCATCCTGGGAGAAAGACTCTTGACTATCCATCTTCTCCATGTCTCTCATAATTTTATATACTTCTAAGAGGTCATCTTTTAGCCTCCGACACCCAACCAAAAAATCCAAATTTGTCCAACTCTTTTAGCTAAAACACTTCAATCCAGGCAGGATCCTGGTAAACCTCTCCTGCCTCATCTCCAAATGCTCTACATCCTTCCTTAGTTTGGCGACCAGAATTGCTTGCACCCCATGCTCCAAAGATCCCTCAGTATATCAGTGCACCTAAAGTTCCTGCTGTTTCCTGTATGCTTTCCTCTTGCATTTGATCTCCCAAAATGTATCACCTCACACTCATCTGGATTAAACATAATCTGCCATTTCTGCTTCCAACTTCCCAAATGATCTATGTCCTGCTTTATCCTTTGACAATCTTTCTCACTATCGACAATTCCACCAACTTTCATGTCATCTGCAAATTTATGAATCAAACTACCAACATTTTAATCCAAATAATTTATAACTATGATTAGATATAATCATATCGAAGATATAATTGGGATTATGGAGATCTGGCTGCAGGGTGACCAGGGATGGGAACTAAATGTCCCAGGGTGTTCAGTATTTAGTAAAGACATGGAAAAAAGAAAAGGTGGCTGAGTGGCATTCCTGGTTAAAGAGGAAATTAACACAGTAGTGAGAAAGGATGTTAACTCTGACAATGTGGAGTCTGTATGGGTAGAGTTGAGAGTGGTGGGCGTGTGGAATGCGGTGCCAGCAGTGGTAGTGGAGTCAGATACTTTAGAGACTTTTAAGCGACTCTTGGATAGGCACATGGAGGATAGTAAAATGTAGGGTATGCAGGGTAGATTGATCTCAGTAGGATAATAGGTCGGCACCACATCATGGGCCGAAGGGCCTGTACTGTGCTGCACTGTTCTATGTTCTATGTTAAATACCAAGGGGCAAAAAACATTAGTGGATATCATATATAGACCCCCCCATCTGCAGTGGTGATGTTGGAAATGGCATTAAACATGAAAGTAGAGATATATGTGATAAAGGAACATCGGTGATCATGGGTGATTTTAACCTGCACATAGATTGGGAAATCAAATTAACCACAATGACGTAGAGGAGGAATTCCTGGAATGTATACGGGATGGTTTCTTGACCAATATGTGGAGGAACCAACTAGAGAGCAGGCCATCTTAGACTGGGTACTGTGTAATGAGAAGGGAATCATTGCCAATCCAGCTGTGCAAGACCCCTTGTGGATGAACGACCATAACATGATGGAATTTTTTATCAAGATGAATGTATGAGGCATGAGTTGGCCTTGATAGATTGGGGAGAGTTACTTAAAGGAATGACAGTGGATAGACAATGGCAAACATTCAAGAAATGCATGGGGAAGCTGCAATAACTGCTTATTCCTGTCTGTCACAAAAAGGCCAATCCATGGCTTACAAAGGAAATAAGAGAGTGTCCAATCCAAGGAAGAAGCTTACAGATTGACCAAGAAAAATAATATATCTGAGGATTGGGAGCAGTTTAGAATTCAGCAAAGAAGGACCAAGGGATTGATTAAGAAGGGGAAATAGAGTACAAAAGTAAGCTTGCAGGGAGCATAAAGACTGACGCTGAGAGTTTCTGTAGGCACATGAATAGAAAGACAAATGGAGGTCCCCTACAGACAGAAACATGGTAATGTAATAATAGGGGACAAAGAAATGGCTGAGCAACTGAATACATACTTTGGTTCTAACTTCACAAAAGAAGACACAAATTAGATAAGAATTGTTGGAGAATGCAAGATTTAGTGAGATGGAAGAACTGAGGGAGATCAATATTAATAGAGAAATGGTACTGGGAAAATTGATGGGATTGAAGGCTGATAAATCCTCAGGGCCTGATAATCTACATCCCAGAGTACTTAAGGAAGTGGCTCTAGAAACAGTGGATGCACTGGTGGTCGTCTTCCAGGATTCTATAGACTCTGGAACAGTCCCTGCAGATTGGAGGGTGGCTAATGTCACTCCAACATTCAAAAATGGAGGGAGAGAGAAAACAGGGGTTTACAGACCAGTAAGCCTAACATCAGTAATGGGGAAAATTCTTGAATTCATTATCAAGGACTTTATAGCAGACCGTTTAGGAAGCAGTGACAGGATCAGGCAGAGTCAGCATGGATTTATGAAGGAGAAATCATGCTTGACAAATCTGTTGGAATTCTATGAAGATGTAACTCGTAGAGTTGACAAGGGGGAGCCGGTCATTGTTGTATAGTTGGACTTTCAGAAAGCATTTGACAAAGTCCCGCATAAGAGATTAATGTGCAAGATTAAAGTGTATGGGATTGGGGGAAGTGTACTGAGGTGATAGAAAACTGGTTGGCAGAAAGGAAACAAAGAGTAGGAATTAATGGGACCTTTTCAAATTGGCAGGCAGTAACTAGTGGGGTGCCACAGGGATCGGTGCTGGGACCCCAGCTATTCACAATGTATATTCATGATTTGGATGAGAGAATGTGATGTAACATCTCAAAGTTTACAGATGATACCGAGTTGGGTGGAAGAGGGACTGTGCTGAGGATGCAGAGATCTTTCAGCGTAATCTTGACAGGTTGGCTGAGTGGGTAAATCAATGGCAGATGCGGCATAATTTGGATAAATGTGAGGTTATTCCCTTTGGAAGCAAAAACAAGGTGGCAGATTACTACCTGATTGGCTACAAATTGGGAGAGGGGAGTGTGCAGTGGGACCTGGGTGTCCTTGTGCACCAGTAGCTGAAGGTAAGCATGCAGGGGCAGCAGGTGGTAAAGAAGGTAAATGGTATGTTGGCCTTCATTGTGAGAGGTTTCGAGTACAGGAGCAGGGATGTGTTGTTGCAGTTATGCAGGGCCTTGGTGAGACCACACCTGGAATATTGTGAGCAGTTTTGGTCTCCTTTTCTGAGGAAGGATGCTCTTGCTCTCAAGGGAATGCAGTGAAGGTTTACCAGGCTGATTCTGGGGATGGTAGGATTGATGTATGAGGAGAGATTGACTAGGTTAGGGTTGTTTTCGCGAGAGTTCAGATTAATGAGGGGGCTCTCATAGAGACTTAAAAAATTCTAGTAGCACTAGACAGGGTAGATGCAGGATGTTCTCAATGGTGGGTGTGTCCAGAACCAGGGATCACAGTCTGAGGATTTGGAGTAGACCATTTAGGACAGAGATGAGGAGACATTTCTTCACCCAAAGAGTGGTGAGCCTGTGGAATTCATTACCACAGGGAGTAGTTGATGCCAAAACATTGAATGTATTCAAGAGGTGACTAGGTATAGAACTTGGGATGAATGGGATCAAAGTTATGGGGAGAATGCAGGATTAGAGTAATGAGTTGGATCATCAGCCATGATCGTGAAGAATGGCAGAGCAGGCTTGAAGGGCTGAATGGCCTTCTCCTACTCCTATCTTCGATGTCTATGTTGTGTTTCTGTAACTTATAACAGAGGTCCCAGTACTGATCTTTGCGGAACACCACTGGTTACAGACCTCCACTCAGAAAAATACCCCTCGACAACCTCTGTCTGTGTTCTGTGACCAAGCCAATTTTGTATCCAATTTACCAACTCACCATGGATCCCACGTGACTTAATCTTCTGGAGTAGCCTATCATGAGGGATGTTGTCAAATGCTTTAGTAAAGTCCTTCCTCAGTTAAGGAGTCCAAAACTGTGCACAATGAATATAGCATGGATTTAAGGTAAGGTGCAGGCAGTTTACAGGGGATGTGAGAAAAAATGCTGTCACTGAGAAGATGGTGGGATGATGGAACACACTGCTTGCCAGGGTAGGAGAAGCAGATGCCCTCATAGTTAGAATAGTTAGGTTGTTTATGTTCTTAGCTGTGTTGTCGACCTCAATGGCTCTCTGACTCTCATTTGTATGAGCCATAATGTTCATGTAAATCAATTATGTGCAGAGCTGGATGAACACATTTCTGATGAAGGGTCTAGGCCCGAAACATCAGCCTTTCTGCTCCTATGATGCTGCTTGGCCTGCTGTGTTCATCCAGCTCTGCACCTTGTTGTCTCGGATTCTCCAGCATCTGCAGTTCCTACTATCTCTGTAAATCAATTATGTTTCTTTTGTGTCTTTATGTAGCTGCTGGGTGATGAACGTTTTCTTAATATTGAAAAGATCAAGACCATTGGGAGTACGTACATGGCAGTGTCTGGACTAGCATCAGAACAACAGGTATTCCTACACCTATATTTATTGATTGATTTTATTGTCATATGTACCGAAATCTAGCGTTTACGCGCAGTACAGGCAGATCACAGCAAACAAAGGACATGCAAGTTACATTACAGGTTACATTATTTGAGGCTAGAGTTCATTCAACAGTCTGATAACGGCCAGAAACAAGCTGTTCCTGAAGCTGCTCGTGCGTGTGTTCAGGCTTCTGTAGTTTCTGCCTGGTGGAAGAGGTTGTAGGAGAACATTACCAGGTTGCGATGGGTCTTTGTTGATGTTGGCCACATTTCCACAGAAGCGAGCCATGTAAATAGAGTCCGTGGATGGAAGGTTGGCTTCCGGGATGGTCTGGACTGTGCACACCACCTTCTGTAGTTTCTTACGATTCTGGGCAGAGCAATTGTCATACCAGGGCATTATGCACCTAGACAGTGTGCTTTCAATGGTGCATCTGTAGAAGTTGGTGAGTGACCTTATGGACACAGCAAATTTCCTGAGCTGCCTGAAGGAAAAGAGGCGTTGTTGTGCCTTCTTGACTGTCGCATTTACATGGGGAGTCTAGGACAGGTTGTCGGTTATCGTCACTCCGAGGAACTTGATGCTGTTCAATCTCTCAACCTCAGTTCCATTGATGTAGATGGGAGCGTGTTCACCTCCTTTCTTTCTGAAATCGATGATCAGTTCTTTAGTTTTGCTGACGTTGAGAGACAGATTGTTTTCATCGAACCACATCACCAAGCCCTCTATCTCCCTTCTGTATTTTGACTCATTGTTGTTAGATATCCATCCCACTGCAGTAGTGTCGTCAGCGAACATGCAGATGGCATTTGTTTGGAATTTGGCAACACAGTTGTGAGTGTACAGGGAGTACAGTAGGAGGTTGAGGATGTATCCTTGGGAGGGGCTCCAGTGTTGAGTGTTATTGTGGAGGAGGTGTAGTTACCTATCCTCACTGATTGCTGCCGATGGAACAGAAAGCTCATGATCCTGTTGTTTTTGTTGCATTTGTCTGACTAAATGCATGTTTAATAATATGTGAGATAACGCAGAAAATGCAGAGAATGTCTTTTTTATTGGGTAGTAATCTAAGCCTTTAACCAACATAAAGCTGTTGACTCAAGACATGATGGGCTGAAGGGGCTTTTTCTGTTCTGTAGACCTCCGTGACTCTATGATTGTATGAGTGAGGGACAGACTGAGAAATCCTAATCTTCCTGCAATTCATCATTGTGTATTGCCATGAAAGCTTTGCAGGTGCACATCTGACTTCTTAAATGAGGGTTTCTGCCTCTACCACCCTTATAGGCAGTAAGTTCCAGATGCCCAACAGCCTCTGGATAGAAAAGTTTTTACTCACGTATCACAGAATCATTGAATCCCTACAGCATGGAAGCAGGCCATTTGGCCCATCAAGTCTACACTGACTCATAAGACCATAAGACATAGGGGCAGAAATTAGGCCATTCAGCCCATCGAGTCTGCTCTGCCATTCAATCATGGCTGATAAGTTTCTCAACCCCATTCTCCTGCTTTCTCCCTGTAACCCTTGATCCCCTTGACAATCAAGAGCCTATCTATCTCTATCTCTGTGTTAAATGTACTCAATGACCTGGCCTCCACAGCCTTCTGTGGCAGTGAATTCTGTAGATTCACCACTCTCTGGCTGAAGAAGTTTCTCCTTATCTCCGTTCTAAAAGGTCTTCCCTTTACTCTAATGCTGTACCCTCAGGTCCTAGTCTCTCCTGTCAATGAAAACATCTTCCCAACATCCACTCTGTCCAGGCCATTCAGTGTTCTTTAAGACCCTCCAAACAGCATCCCACCCAGATTCACCACTGTGCCCCCCCACCATGCTGACAACCCCACATTTCCCATGGCTAACCCACCTTAACCTGCACATCTTTGGACTGTGGGAGGAAACTAGAGTAGAAACCCACGCAGACAAGGGGAGAATGTATAAACTCCACACAGACAGTTGCCCAAGGGTGGAATTGAACCTGGGTCCCTGGTGCTGTGAGGCAGCAGTGCTAACCACTGAGCCACTGAGCCACCGTGCCACCCAGTTGACATTAACCTTACTCTGTTTTAGTAAGATATGTTGAGGAGCTCAAGCAGTTCATTAACTTCACCAACACTTTCCATCATGCCCTCAAATTCACCTGGATCATTTCTGACATCTCACTCCCCTTCCTGGACTTCTTCATCTCCATCTCCGGAAACCAACACACTACCGACATCCATTTCAAACCTACTGACTCCCACAACTACCTCGACTACAGCTCCTCTCACCCACCATCCTGCAAAAATGCCATCCCATACTCTCAATTCCTCCACCTCTGCTACATCTACTCCCAGGATGAGGTGTTCTACTCCAGGACATCCCAGATATTCTCCTGCTTTAGGGACCGTAGTTTCCCCACCTCTGTAATTAAGGAGGCCCTCAACCGCATCTCCTCCATTTCCCGTGCTTCTGCCCTCAAGCCCTCAAAACCTCTTCCCCCAACAACAATAAGGATAGAGTCCCCTTGGTCCTCACATACCACCCCGCTAGCCTCTGAATACAATGCATCATCCTCCAACATTTCCGCCATCTACTATCAGACCCCTCCACCAAAAAGATATTTCCCTCCCCACCCCTGTCTGCTTTCGGCAGGAACCGTTCACTCTGCGACTCCTTCGTCAGCTCCACACTTCCCACCACCCCCTCTACCACACGTTACACCTTTCCCTACAACCGCAGGAGGTGCTACATCTGCCTCTACACCACCCCCCTCACCTCCGTCCAAGGCCCGAAACAATCCTTCCTGATTCAGCAGAGATTCACCTGCATTTCATTTAACCTGATTTATTGCATGCATTGCTGTGGTCCCCTGTATATGGGGGGGTCCAAACGCAGACTTGGGGACCGGTTCGCGGAGCACCTGTGCTCTACACGCACCAACCAACCCGAACTTCCGTTTGCCATCCACTTGAACACCCCCTCCCACTCAATGGGAGGCAATGGCCTCATGGTATTATCACTGGGCTATTAATCCAGAGACCAGGATAATGTTCTGGGGACCCAGGTTCGAATCTCAGCATGGCAGATGGTGGAATTAAGAATCTAATGATGACCATGTATCTATTGCTGATTGTTAGGAAAAATCTGTCTGGTTCACTAATGTCCTTTAGGGAAAGAAACAGCCACCCTTACCTGGTCTGGCCTACATGTGACTCCAGACCCACAGCAATGTGGTTGACTCTGGCCAATAAATGCTGCCTAGCCAGCGAAGCCCTCATCCTGTTAATGAATAAAAAAAAACTTCCCTGGTGACATGTCCATCCTTGGCCTCATCCACTATCAGAGTGAGGCCAAACGTAAACTGGAGGAACAACACCTCATATTTCACCTCGGGAGCTTACAGCCTGAATATTGACTCCACCAGCTTCAAAATCTCTCCTCCTCCAACCTGTCCATCCTCGACTTACCTATCCTCTCCACCCTTCCCACTGACCAACCACAATGATTCCCTACCTGCTTTCACCTATCTCTATCCCACCTACCATTCCCCCCAGCCCCACACCCCTTCCTCTATTTATGCCTGGGCTCCCGTCCCCATCCCCAGTCCTGATGAGGCCTGAGACATTGACTTCCCTGCTCCTCGGATGCTGTCTGACCTGCTGTGCTTTTCCAGCTCCACATTTATTGATTCCAGCTTCCAGCATCTGCAGTCCTTACTGTCTCCAACATCCTGGTAAATCTCTTCTGCACCCTCTCCAGTGCTGTCACATCCCTCCTATGATGTGGATTCCAGAACTGCACACATAACTCTAGCTGTGACCTAACCAATGTTTTATACAGTTCCAGCATAACATTCCTGCTCTTAACCTCTATGCCTCAGCTAATAAAGGCAGGTATACCATGTGCCTTCTTAGCCACTTTATCGAGCTGTCATGATTCCTTAAGGGACTGGTGCACATGTGTTTCCCAAGATCCTATTGTACATCATTAATTCCCTTACCTTGCAGCGCCTCACATTTATCCAGATTTAATTCCAATTGACACAGATCAGCCCAACTGACCAGCCGTCCATTTCCTCCTGGAGTCTAAGGCTATCCTTCTCACTATTAACCACTTCATCAATTTTTGTATCATTCATAAACTTACTGATCAACACTCCAATATTGAAGCCTAAATTATTTAAACAAACCAGAAACAGCAAAGCCCCTAAAACTGTTCCCTGTGGGACCCCACTGGACATAAACTTACAGTCACAAAAACACCTGTCAACCATCAACTTCTGCTTCCTGCCACTCAACCAGTCGTGGATCCAGTTTTACTTAATTTCCTTGGATCTCCTAGGCTCTTAGCTTCACCATCAGTTTCCCATGCAGATCCTTATCAAAAACCTTGCTGAAGTCCAAGCAGGCTACATCAAAAGCATTGCCCCATCTACACACCTGGTCCCCTGTTTGAAAATTCAATACAGTTGGTCAGACATGGCCTCCCTTTAACAAAACCATGCTGTCTGTGCTTAAATAATCCCTGCCTCACCGAGTACAAATTAATTCAGTCCCTCCGAATTGCTCCCAATAGTTTCCCCATCACTGAGGCTAGACTGAGTGACCTGTACTTCCCTGGTTTATCCTTGCTCCCTCCTTGAATAACAGTACCACACTGACTGTCCTTCAGTCCTCTGGCACTTCTCCTGTAGCCAGAGAGGAATTGAAAATTATTACCATTGCCCCTGCTATTTCCTCCGTTGTCTCACTCACCAGCCTGAGATACATTTCATCCAGCTTGGAGATTTATCTACTTTTAAGCCTGCCAGATCACTCAGACCCTCCTCTCTGTCTGTGTTAATCTCTTTAATGGTATCACAGTCCTTCTCCCTGATTTCTGTACCCACATCATCCTTCTCACTAGTGACACATAATAACCCAACCTACATCCTCTGGCTCCACACACAAATTATCATGTGGCACTTAATGGGCCTTACTCTTCCCCTAGTCATCGTTTTACCCTTAACATACCTGTAAAATCTCAAGATTTTCCTTTCTTTTACCTGCCAGTACCCTTTCAATTCCCCATTAGCTCTGCTAATCTCCTTTTCAAATTCTCTCTTGGACATTCTGTACTCCTCCAGGGCTTCAGCTGTTTTGAGCTCTCAGTATCTGCCATAAACCACCCTTTTTCTCTTAATCCAGTGCTGCATATCCCTTGATAGCCAAGATTCACAGCATTTGATAGTCCCAACCTTTTTCTTTATTGGAGCATGTCGACCCCGTACAGCTGACTGACTGTGAAAGTACAAACATCTGTGGAGATCAGAGTTCCTTCCAAGAAAAACAAACAAACAGTGAAATTTCATAGCTGACCTTGGAGAGATCTCATTGTTGGAACTACTTATAGCTGGGAGTGTCAGCAGCTAAGTGTTTGTCGTTGAGACTTATAAAATATATAAATCTTAATCTCTTTTTGTAAGTCTGTAATGTGAGTAGGGTAAGAGTAATATTTTTATATGTTGAGATCTGTCCCTTTTTTTTAACATAAAACATAGCTATTAAGTTATCATAGAGCGGTATTTTTAGAGCAATAAGACTGATATTTTCTGGGTCGGTAGATTAAGGTACAGAGATGGCTTCTAGTAGAGTGATGTGCTCTTCCTGTCAGATGTGAGAGATGACGGAGAATTTCAGTGTTCCTGATGATTATGCCTGCGGGAAGTGTGTTTGGTTGCGAATCCTAAGAAATTGGTTGGAGTGGCAGTTAGAGGCAACAAGGAATTTACAGGAGCCATGGGGTGTGATGGATAGCAGTTGCAAGAAGGGAGGTAAACCGCATATACAGTCAGGTCAATGGGTTGCCTCCAGGAAAGCTGGGAGAGGGAGGCAGGTAGTGCAGGAGTCTCCTGTGGCTATCCCAATCTCAAATAAGGATGCTGTTTTGGAAAATGTAGGGGCTGATGGACTCTCAAGAGGATGTAGCACCAACAAACAGGTTTCTGGTACCAAGACTGGCTCTACTGTAACGAGAGGTATGTCAGGATTCTAGCGATCAATCGTGATAGGGGACTCCAGTCAAGGACACAGGTGGACATTTCTGCAGCCAACAACGAAACGTTAGAATGGTGTGTTGCCTCCCTGGTGCTTCTTCTCAAGTTTTGCTCCTTCTCTGGCAGGTACATCCACATACTGAATAAGAAAATTTTCTTGTACCCTTGATTGGAAAAGAATTTGTCAAGGGTGCAAGAACATTTTTTGATTCAGTAGGTGGATGTACCTGCCAGAGAAGGAGCAAAATTTGACCTACCCTTGGGAAATAAGGCAGGGCAAGTGACTGATGTGTCAGTGGGGGAGTACTTTGGGACCAGTGACCATTATTCAATTAGTTTTAAAATAGTTATGGAAAGGATAGACCTATTCTAAAAGTGAAAGTTCTAAATTGGAGGAAGGACAATTTTGATGGTATTAGGCAAGAACTTTCAAAAGTTGATTGGGGGTGGTTATTCAGAAGTGAAGGGATGGCTGGAAAATGGGAAGCCTTCAAAAATGAGATAGCGAGAGTCCAGTGACAGTATGTTCCTTTCAGAGTGAAGGACAAGGCTGGTAGGTGGAGGGAATGCTAGATGACTGGAGAAATTGAGGCTCTGGTAAAGAAAAAGAAGAAAGCATATGTCTGGTATAGACAGATAGAATCGAGTGTATCACTTGAGGAGTATAAGGGCCGTATACTCCAGAGAGAAATCAGGAGGGTTACAAGGGGTAATTAAGGTACATTCAGTAAATAGGGTTCAGGAGAATCCAAAGAGATTCTACAAATACATTAAGGACAAAAGAGCAGCTAGGGAGAGAATAGAGCCCCTTAAAGATCAACAAGGCCATCTGTGTGTGGCACCACAGGAGATGGGGGAAATACTCAATGTGAACTTCATGTCAGTATTTACAGTGGAGAAGGATATGGAAGGTAGAGTACTTGGAGTCATAAATAGTGACATCTTGAAACGTGTCCATGTTATAGAGATGGAGTTGCTGGACATCTTAAAACACAGAAAAATAGATAAATTCCTGGGACCCGATCAGGTGTATCCTAGAACTTTGTGGAAAACTAGGGAAGTGATTGCTGGGCCCTTTGCTGAGATTTTTTAAAAATTTCATTAATGGGGCAAGGGTGTTGCTATCTAGGCAGCATTTATTGCCCATCCCTAACTGCCCAGAGAGCTGTTCAGAGTCAACCACATTGCTGTGGGTCTGGAGTCACATGTAGGCCAGGTAAGGATGGCAGTTTCCTTCCCTAAAGGGCATTAGTGAACCGATTTGTATCATAGATAGCCATGGGTGAGGTGCCAGAGACTGGAGGATGGCTAGTGTGGTGCCGTTATTTAACTTAGGTGGTAAGGAAAAGCCAAGAAACTATAGACCAGTGAGCCTGACATCAGTGGTGGGCAAGTTGTTGGAGGGGATTCTGAGGGACAGGATTTACATGTATTTGGAAATGCAAGGACTGATTAGGGATAGTCACCATGGCTTTGTGAGTGAGAAATTGTGTCTTGCTAACTTGATTGAATTTTTTGAAGAAGTGACAAAGAAGATTGATGAGGACAGAGCAGTGGACGTTGTCTATATGGACTTGAGCAAGACATTGGCAAAGTTCTGCAAGGTAAACTGGTTAGCAAGATTAGATCACATGAGATTGAGGGGGAGCTAGCCAATTGGATACAATATTAGCTTGAAGATAGGAGTCAGAGGGTGGTGGTGGAGGATTGCTTTTTGAACTAGTGGCCTGTGACCAGCGGTGTGCTCAAAGATCTTGGGCTGGGTGTGCTGCTTTTTATCATTTATATAAATGATTAGGATGTGAATATGGAGATGTGATTAGTAACTTTGCAAATGACACTAAAATTGGAGGTGTAGTGGACAGGGAAGAAGGCTACCTCAGAGTTCAACAGTACCTTGATCAGATGGGCCAATGGGGTAAAGAGTGGCAGGTGGAGTTTAATTTAGATAAATGTGAGGTGCTGCATTTTAGAAAGGCAAATCAGGGCAGGATTTATACACATCATGGGAAGGTCCTGGGGAGTATTGCCGAGCAAAAAGATCTTGGAGTGCGGGTTCACAATTCATTGAAGGTTGAGTCCCAGGTAGACAGGGTGGTGAAAAAGGCATCTGGTACGCTTGCCTTTATTGGTCAGTGCATTGTGTATTGGAGTTGGGAGGGTCATGTTGAGGCTGTGCAGAACATTGGTTAGGCCACCTTTGGAATACTGTGTTCAGTCTGGTCTCCCTGCTATAGGAAACATTGTGAAACTTGAAAGGGTTCAGAAAAGACTTACAAGGGTGTTGCTGGAATTGGAGAGTTTGAGCTATAGGGAGAGGCTGAATATTACAAGATGATGAGAAGCATAGATAGAGTGGATCGTCAGAGATTTTCTCCCAGGGCGGAAATGACTATTACAAGGGGGCATAATTTTAAGGTGATCGGAGGAAGGTATAGGGGAGATGTCAGAGGTAAGTTCTTCACACAGAGAGTGGTGGGCGTGTGGAATGCGCTGCCAGCAGTGGTGGTGGAGTCAGATACTTTAGAAACTTTTAAGCGACTCTTGGATAGGCACATGGAGGATAGTAAAATGTAGGGTATGCAGGGTAGATTGATCTTAGTAGGATAATAGGTTGGCACAACATCGTGGGCCAAAGGGCCTGTACTGTGCTGAACTGTTCTAGGTTCTATCTTCTATGCTGTGGTGCCTTTTTTCCCTGGAGCATCGGAGGCTGAGGGGTGACCTTATAGAGGTTTATAAAATCATGAGGGCCATGGATAGGGTAAATAGACAAGGTCTTTTCCCTGGGGTGGGGGAGTCCAAAAGTAGAGGGCATAGGTTTAGGGTAAGAGGGGAAATATTTAAAAGGGACCTAAGGGGTAACTTTTTCACGCAGAGGATGGTGTGTATATGGAATGAGCTGCCAGAGGAAGTGGTGGAGGTGGGTACAATTACAACATTTAAAAGGCATCTGGATGGCTCCATGAATAGGAAGGGTTTAGGGGGACATGGGTCAAATGCTGGAAAATGGGACTAGATTTATTTAGGATATCTGGTCAGCATGGACGAGTTGGACTGAGGGGTCTGTTTCCCTGCTATATATTTCTATGACACTATGACCCCATATTTCCTTCTTGATTGCATCATGCTGTTCTGAGATAGATATTCCTGAAAGTATCTGCTCCCAGTCCACTTTGGCCCAGTCATATCTAATTTCATTAAAGATCACCCTCACCTCTTGTTTATATCAGCCCAACACAAACAACACTCCACATTTATCAACTATTTAAAATCATATGATCTCGGTGTTCACAATCCTTCAATCTCTGAGTGCAACAGGTGACTTGTTGCCTTATGATACATCGATCTTTGACTTGAATCGTTTCCAAGCAGTAGGAGGTATATGATTGTCAGCTAAGTTAAAAAAGAACAAGCCTTCAGCCACCAAGAGCTGATCTCTACATGCTGTCACCGAGTAGAGTGGTTGGCTGATCTTTGCACTGCTCCTTGTTCCCACAGGAGTGTTGCTGCAGTGATGGTCAGTGTTTCTCAAAGCAACAGCTGAGTTCAATAACTGCCCATGTCAGGAACAGTAAGAATAAGACATGGTCCAGTATTCCTGGAATGCCATCAGCATTGCACCCCAATGCCATGAAAGAATAATGTTGAGATTTTGTTTCAGCGTAATGATCCTGGTATCAGGGAAGATTCGACACACCTCTGTAGCCTGGCAGACTTTGCACTCGCTCTGGAAAACACCATGGAGGAGATTCATAAACATTCCCACATCAATTTTAAACTCCGTGTTGGTAAGTCTCCACATAGGATCAGTCAGGATCAAGAAAATGGTGAAATGTTCATTACAGATGGAATATAGACTAGAGAGATTTAAACATCACCAGTGATAATTATGATCCCAGCTGACATCATTACTGGATAAGTCAGATCCCAGACTGAAACTTGGCTTGATAGTTCACATTTTGGTTTGTTTTGGTTTGAAAGATGGTTTCTCACTGAAAAATATGCACTCAATGCTGCAGATTTGATTTGAACAATAAAACAGAAGTTATTTTTCACAAAAGATAAATTGAATAAACTACACCATTTATTTACGATACAAGTACAAAGATTTTTTTAACAGTAAAAGTATAATCCTGTCAATCTTAGTGCAGACATTGAAAAGAAATTCAACAATGTTTGTACTGTAAACAAAACACACCATGGTACAATAATGAAACCACACTCACACAATACTCACGCAGAGCCCCTATCATCTAAAACCCCAGCAGGATTAAGTCTGTTGTGACTTCACCTTTTAGACTGGAACAGCAGGTAGCTTCTTCCTGGAGATATCACACACCTGAGCTTCAGTGTACTCAGGTTCATGTCATATCTTCAGGGTTTTATCCCAACTGTTATTCACTGAGGTAACCTAGTAACCTAGTTCATAGTATATCCTGCCCTTAACAAAATCACTGTTCTGCACAGTCATCCTGTGGCTTTTTAAGGCCCCCAAAACCTCCAATACCTTCTTGCTCCCTCTGTCAAACTGATCTAGAACCTCATAGTCCATTTCCCAAATTCTGGACTCATATCTTCCTTTTCCAAAGTGAAGACAAATGTGAAATACTCATTTAAAACCCGACCAATATTCTCCAGCTCCTTGTACAGATTGCCCCCTTGGTGCTCAATGGATTCTATTCTCTTCCCTAGTTTTCTTCTTCCCTTTGCTATACTTATTTAAATTCTTGGGATCCTCTCTAATTGTACCCACCAGTGTTTTTCCATGCTCCCTCTTTGCTCTCCTAACTGCTTCCTTAAGTAACACGCTGCACTTTCTATAATCTACTTGGGCCACCATTCGCTTTGCAGCCTTTGTACCTGCTAAAAACCTCTCTTTTCCTTCTTATCCAGGCATCCAGGGTTTGATGGGCTTGTTGTTCCTACATTTTACCCTAAAAGGAACATGTTGGGCCTGTACCCTTGCTAGTTCCATTTTGAATGCTTCCTACTGTTTTCCTGCAGATTTACCCAGAAGTACATGTTCACAATCTACTTTGGACAGATCCTGCCTTATTTTAATAAAATCTGCTTTTGACTCCAAATCCAAATTCTTTTTTGCCATCCATCTTTATCCAGTTCCACAACAAACTTAAAACATACGGTAATAAAAACAGAAATTGTTGGAAAAGCTCAGCAGGTCTGGCCGCATCTGTGGAGAGAAATCAGAGTTAATGTTTCTGAGGAAGGGTTCACTAAATCCGAAACGTTAACTCTGATTTCTCTCCACAGATGCTGCCAGACCTGCTGAGCTTTTCCAGCAATTTCTGCTTTTGTTTCTAAAATAGTCTGTTAATTCAAGGGGAGGCAATGGTTTAGTAGGATTGCTGATGGACTAGTAATCTAGAGACCAAGCTAAAGTTCTAGGTTTCTTGCTCACCGTAACAGATGGTGGATTGAATTTAATAAAGATCTGGGATTAAAAGGCAAATGATGATCCCGAAACCATTGTGGGTTTTTGTGAAAGCCCATCTGGTTCACTAATGTCCTTCAAGGAAGGCGATGGCCTAGTGGTATTATCATTGGACTGTTAATCCAGAGACCCAGATAATGTTCTGGGGACCAGGGTTTGAATTCCACCACGGCAGATGGTGGAATTTGAATTCAATAAATATCTAGAATTAGGAATCTAATGATGACCATGAATCTGTTGTCGATTGTTGGAAAAACCCATCTGGTTCATTAATGTCCTTTAGGGAAGGAAACTGCCATCCTTACCTGGTCTGGCCTACATGTGGCTCCAGACTCACAGCAATGTGGTTGACTCTTAACTGCCCTCTGGGCAATTAGGGATGGGCAATAAATGCTGCCTAGCCAGCGATGCCCTCATCCCATGAATGAATAAAAAATAGAGGGGGCAGCATAGTGGGATACAGTCAGGAAGGTGTTGCTCTGGGAGTCGTCAACATTGACTCAGGGCCCCATGGAGTCTCATAGCTTCAGGTTAAACATGGACAAGGAAACCTCCCTCAGCTAATGAATCAGTTCTCCTCCATGTTGAGTAACACCTGAACATAAGAAAATAAGAACTAGGAGCAGGAGTAGGCCATCTGGCCCCTCGAGCCTGCCCCGCCATTTAATAAGATCATGGCTGATCTTTTTGAGTCTCAGCTCCACTTACCCGCCCGCTCATCATAACCCTTAATTCCTTTACTGTTCAAAAATTTATCTAGCCTTGCCTTAAAAACATTCAGCGAGGTAGCTTCAACTGCTTCACTGGGCAGGGAATTCCACAGATTCACAACCCTTTGGGTGAAGAAGTTCCTCCTGACCTCAGTCCTACATCTGCTTCCCTTTACTTTGAGGCGATGCTCTCTAGTCCTAGTTTCACCTGCTAGTGAAAACAACCTCCCTGCCTCCACCTTATCTATTTCCTTCATAATCTTATATGTTTCTATAAGATCTCCCCTCATTCTTCTGAATTCCAATGAGTATAATCCCAGTCTACTCAGTCTCTCCTCATAATT